CGCAAAGGCTAGGATCAATGCCGGTGCTAACTTCTACATTGTGGGTAGGGACCAGCTGGAATGGGTCATCCTGTGGAGAAACGTGACCTGTATGATGCTGATCACGGGAAGAGAGTACTAAGCATGGCTCCTGGACTCGAACGACTCAACATTCTTCCTTTCAGGGTATATACATCAAAATCGCATAATACTCAACCTCGGTATCTCCTTAAAAGATTTAAGCTTTTTGAGTTCTGATTTCTGGTTCTAATTGGTTTAGGTTGCTGCTTACGATAAGACACAAGGCAAGATGGCTTTCTTTGATCCCACTAGGGCACAGGATTTCTTGTTCATTTCTGGCACTAAGGTAAATAACTTCTCAAACCACTTGGGACATAATGTAACTAAGCTTTAAGTGTACTCGATTTCTGACTAAAGCTTGATTTGGTGGTTGTTTTGATAGATGAGAGCATTGGCAAAGAACAGAGAGAACCCTCCAGATGGATTTATGTGCCCTGGAGGCTGGAAGGTGCTTGTGGATTACTACGACAGTTTGACTGTAACCGGAAACACCAAACTCCCCGAAAAGATTCCGGTTTAAGACCGATAAACCCATTTATTTGTTTTCATTTTAGTAAATTAATAACATGATAGTTTTTTAAGAACTCAACATAATGATTGATCCATCTTATTGTAAGATTTGGAAAGCTGATATGAACAAAGGTAACACAAATCTTACATATAAACTAAAATAAAAAAAGCAGAGCGTAGAGATATATGAATCTAACTTTCAATCCTTGATCATTCTTCAATCTATCACTATGACTTCACTTTTTATTTTTTTGGTTAAAGTTTCTTCATTGCTTCTTCCCCTCTTATTCCGTGAATGAATCACAACATCTGACGTTTGCTCTGTCTTCTTCGCAACCACATTCTCATCTATTTGGTAGACAAGATCAGTTTTATCCACGTTTACATCAATGCACACAATGGAGTCGTCATCGATTTCTTCTCGTACAATCATCATTGATATATCTGTGACCACTTTCCTCTCTAGCCATCTCCTAATGGGTCTAGCACCATACACCTACAACAACAACCACACAATATTAAGTGATACAAATGTAAAACCTCAAGCGCAACATATACTTGTTAAGTGATAAGGAAAAAGGACATTTACCGAGTCGTAACTCGCTGCTAAAATGTAGTCCAATGCATACAGTCATAGATACACCTTTCTCAGCAAGACGATTAGCAACATTATTCACTTGGAGTTGAACAATTTTTGTCAAATGCTCGTGGGACAAAGGATGAAACATCACAATCTCATCCAATCTGTTTAACAGCTCTGGCCTGAAATGTTTTTTCACCTCTTTCATTGCGTTGTCTCGAGCCACTTGCATTGTCACTTCACCAGTAAGCCCTGAAATAAGGTGGTCAGCACCAAGGTTAGAAGTCATTATGATCACTGTGTTTTTGAAATCGACTGTCCTCCCATGCGAATCGGTTAATCTCCCGTCTTCTAACACTTGAACTAGCGTGTTGAATACAGTAACATTGGCCTTTTCAACTTCATCAAATAGTACAACACAGTAAGGTCGTCTCCTCACGGGTTCGGTTAGTTGTCCACCTTCATGACCAATGTACCTAAAAAACCAAAGTACTATCATTTGAGTTTCCATTATACCATTAATCACAAACACACATAAAAAGAGGCTTGAGTTATAAGCAAGTACCCAGCTGGTGCCCCTATAAGTTTACTAACAGTGTATCTATCAATATACTCCGACATATCAAGCCTAACGAGTAGGTTTTCATCGTAAAAGAGTTGCTCAGCAAGAGCCTTAGCCAGCTCAGTTTTACCAACACCAGTTGGACCGAGGAAAAGAAAGGAACCAGATGGTTGTTGTGGCCTTCCTAGTCCAACCCTTGACCTTAGAATTGCCGCAGCTACAGCTTTCACGGCTTCGTCTTGTACAACAAGGCAACAACTCTCCCGTGCATCTTATCAGCAAGAGAAATCAGCCATCTTAGATCTTCAAATGGGTCAGACCATATTTGATATTGTGCCTATTAGTGGCAACTGCAAGTTCCAAATACAGACGATTGATCAAATATGGAAGTCCTAATTAAGACCCATTTGTTATTAGCTCAAGTATTTTAAAAAAGCGATTGAAACAACATGTAGGTAGATATAAATAATTGATCAAAGTAAAAAGGGAAAAAAAAGATTACATCGCAGTTCTTCTGTGTTTCCATAACCTCGGACACGGAAATCTCACGCTCAACCTTCCCTACAGCCAAAATCGTAGAAAAAAGGTAAGAAATCAATATTAGTAGAAATTTCTCTTCGTAAGCAAGCAGCTGATGGACGCGATTTAGATTTTCTCCACTTCACACCATTTAACAGTCAATTATTTACCAATCAGACTTTTTACTTAACAGCCCATTCTTTACCGCCTTAACAGCCTATTCTTTTTTCTCTATTTTTAGTTGCACCAGTTTTTTTAAAGTACCATGAGACTTTACTGGACTGTAACACTTTTTCAATTAATTGAGTATTTCTTTTAAGATTATTTATCTTCTATTTTTATATAACTTTTACAAATCACTGATTGTTCAATATAAAATATATATTTCACTTAATAGAAACAACAATTAAACAAAAAGAAAAACATTCAAAAATATATGTTTTACTATTAATAGTGAAAATCAATATAAAACAATAATAGTCGATAAAGAAAACTCTACACAAAACATATTAGCACATAATAGTGGATCATTAATTATTCAAAAACTAGAGAAAATCATTTTAAAGCATACCAATACAAAATAATATTCCAACAAATTTAAAATTAAAATTAATACAACAAACTATTTTTAAAAGATCACTAACTTTATAAATACAATCACCAATGGAGTTTTAATTGCAAATCCAACAAGTACTATGATTTCCAAGTTTTTTGTTAGTTTATCCCACTTCTTACTTATGCTTTTTGGTATTAAATTTGGGTATGAAATAGTAAATATAAATAAGTTTATTTTATTTCAAATATTTATCTATTAGTTTGTTTTTAAACTCTTGTAATTTTTTTTACTAACAAATCTTTTTGTTATGATATTAAAATAACATTCACAATTTTTACACCCACATCTTCTACATTAGTGTTTACCAATCTATACTATTAATTGAAAAGCATTCCCTGAAAAATAACCTTAAAAAGTGTAAAAAATTACAAGGGATTGCCATTACAATTTTTGCATTCTAAGAGTAACTAAAATATTTCGTTTAAGGGTAAAATGGTACTTGGACATTTCGATCCGTATTACTCGCACATCTCCACCTTATTGGGCTTCACGGATCAAAGCCTTTGTGATGTTCTCGACACTGATTGAGATATGTCGAAGTTAATGACATAACCAAATTAAATTCCTCACTTAAAAGAGATTTCTATAACAAACAAATCCAATTTAATCCGTTTACTAGATATGGACAGATCTCTTTAAATACAAATTCAGTTGGAGACTTGGAGATAATGAGGAATCGCCGTCGAACATACAATGTTAGGGCAACTCCGCCGTCATTGTTTCCCGAATCCCTGAGAGTGAATTCCATTGTTCAAGCGAGGTGAGTTTTCTATTTTTTTTTATTCTCCTTTCAATCGAAATTTCAGGGTTTATGATCTCTAGGGTTTAGGTTTTCTTTTCTTTATCCATTGTAATTCCTCTTATAAACTAATTAAAACTCTAAATTGTTTTTCGTCTTCCTCTTCTCCTTGTAATTGCAAACGCTAGAGGAGATTGAAGATCGAAGAGGAAGTGTTATACAGGATCGTGGGATCAAAATATTCCGACAGATCTCTTACATGATATATTATCCCGCCTCGGATTAAAAGCCAACATAAAAGCTTCTATTGTCTGCAAGACATGGCTTGAAGAAGCTTATTGGTATATAAGTTTGGTTTAGTGTAAACCGGTTAATCATGTTGATAACCGGAACACTGTTGTATAAATAGAAGGTTTCTGTTGTTGTTGATAGTGCCTTATGGCATAGTCGATTAGGACATCCATCATATGATAAGATTGATGTATTACATAATGTTCTTGGAATTCATAAAAGGAATAAAGATGAGTCAGTTCATTGTTCAATTTGCCAGCAAGCTAAACAAAAACACTTATCATTTCCTTCCAAGAATAATATGTCTCCTAACAGCTTTGATCTTGTTCACATTGACACTTGGGGACCTTTTGCAACACCTACAGTAGAAGGATACATATATTTTTTTAACGATTGTCGATGATCACAGTCGAGCTACTTGGGTTTTTCTGATGAAGACGAAGAATGAGGTACTTCAGATATTCCCTGAGTTTATTCAAATGGTTAATACTCAGTTTCAGACGTGTGTGAAGGCAGTTCGTTCTGACAATGCTCCTGAGTTAAGATTTGATAAACTTTACAAAGAAAAGGGTATTGTATCGTATCACTCTTGTCCAGAGACACCACAGCAGAATTCTGTAGTAGAGAGGAAGCATCAACACATATTGAATGTTGCAAGAGCTCTTATGTTTTATTCAAATATCCCTTTGGAGTTTTGGGGTGACTGCATCTTATCTGCAGTTTTCTTGATCAATTGATTACCATCTCCTCTGCTACAACAAAAGTCTCCATTTGAGCTACTCAACTCTAAAATTCTTGACTATTCACAGCTAAAAGTCTTTGGTTGTCTCTGTTATGAATCAACAAGCACACATCAGAGACACAAATTTGAACCAAGGGCCAAGGCATGTGTTTTCTTGGGGTATCCTGCAGGTTACAAAGGTTATAAGTTGCTGGATGTGGAAACAAACACAATTCATATCTCAAGACATGTCGTATTCTTCGAGAATATCTTTCCTTTTGCGACCAAAGATGGAGTACCTGCAGATATTTTTAACATTGAATCTGGTTCTGATGATTCTGTTTCAGCACTTGATCCAGTTTCAAATGATGTTGAGATTCCAATGTTTACTCCTGCAACAACGCCTACAACAAAGTCTGAAACAACATCTGCAATAACATCTAAAAAGAAGTCTGGAAAGAGAAAGACAAAACCGCCAAGATACTTACAAGATTACCACTGCAATACGGTTCCTAATGTGCTTAAGGACGTCAGGTACCCTATTTCAGCATTTATCAACTATGCTCAATTGTCAGAAGAATTCACTGCTTATATTTGTGCAATAAATAAGTATCCAGAACCTAGAACTTATGCACAAGCAAAGCAGATACAAGAATGGATTGATGCTATGGAGATTGAGATTGATGCTCTTGAAGACACTAATACATGGACAGTCTACAGTTTACCTGATGGAAAGAAACCCATTGGATGCAAATGGATCTTTAAGGTAAAACTCAATTCAGATGGAAGTTTGGAGAGGTTTAAAGCACGTTTAGTAGCTAAAGGCTACACACAAAAAGAAGGAGTGGATTATGGAGATACTTTTTCCCCTGTTGCCAAAATGACAACTGTGAAAGTTCTACTCTCTGTGTCAGCTGCAAAGAATTGGAATCTCCATCAACTTGATATTTCAAATGTGTTTTTGAATGGAGATCTAGATGAGGAAATTTATATGACTTTACCTCAAGGTTATTCGCCAAGAAAGGGAGGCTCTTTACCAGACAATGCTGTTCTTAAACTTGAGAAATCCTTATATGGATTAAAACAGGCATCAAGACAATGGTACCTGAAGTTTAGTACAACATTGACGAATCTTGGTTTTAAGAAGTCTCAAGCTGATCATACACTCTTCACCCGCAAAGCTGGTAATGTTTTCAAATCTCTTTTAGTGTATGTTGATGACATAGTTATTGCTGGGAATGATGAAGAGGTTATAGCTCAGTTGAAAGTTGATTTAGCAAAGGCTTTTAAGCTTAGGGACTTAGGTCCTTTGAAGTACTTTTTAGGCCTGGAAATTGCTAGATCTGTTGAAGGCATATCAATATGTCAGAGAAAGTATACATTGGAACTACTAGAAGAAACATGTCTCTTAGGTTGTCGCCCTTCTTCAATACCAATGGAACCTAGTCAGAAGTTGACTCAACATAATGATGAACCAGAGATAGAAAATCCAGAAACTTATCGTCGCATAGTTGGCAAACTAATGTATCTTACGATCATAAGACCGGATATAACATTTGCTGTCAACAAGCTGTGTCAGTTTTCTTCCTCTCCGAAACGGTCTCATCTCAATGTTGCCTATAAAGTGGTACATTATTTGAAAGGCACAGCTGGTTTGGGTTTGTTTTACTCATCCAAGTCTGATTTGTGTTTAAAGGCATACACTGATGCAGATTGGGGTTCTTCTGTTGACTCTAGAAGATCTACATCAAGTTATTGTATGTTCCTTGGTGATTCATTAGTGTCTTGGAAATCAAAGAAACAGGACATGGCTTCTGCTTCTTCTGCAGAATCTGAATATCGGGCGATGGCTATGGCTAGTAAAGAGATTGTGTGGCTTGTAAAACTTGTTGCTGAGTTTCAAATACCTCATACGAAACCAGTACCTATGTTTTGTGACTCCACTGCAGCTATTCACATTGCTAATAACTCGGTTTTTCACGAAAGAACGAAGCACATTGAGAATGATTGCCATATCACTAGGGATCGAATAGAACAAGGTTTGTTGAAGACTCTGCACGTTACCACTACTTCTCAGCTTGGAGATATTCTAACTAAACCCTTGTTTCCTTCCCTATTCAATTCTCTTTTGAGCAAGATTAGTCTTCTTTCAATTTACGTCTCATCTTGAGGGAGGCTATTGGTATATAAGTTTAGTTTAGTGTAAACCGGTTAATCATGTTGATAACCGGAACACTCTTGTATAAATAGAAGGTTTCTGTTGTAACAAACTTTCAAGAGAGTCAATGGAAAATTCATCTTCTTCTTCGTTTCTTCTTCGATTCTCTCTTCAACTATTAAAGTTGTTTCTGTCCGGAAGTTACAGCCTCGTCCTTGGCTTTTTTATCGACAAAGAAGAGTAGAACACGAATACTCTCCAGCTGAAACTTACATTCTTTTTGACCCATTACGGTCTCAACAATATAAGCTCAATTTTCCAGAGTTGGAGATAAACCATGGAATAATTTGTTCTAGGGATGGTTGGTTGCTAACATACGCTAGCGGTTATGCACTCTTTCTTAACCCGTTTACCCAGGAGAGCTTCTATTTAACCGAGGGGTCTCCCTACAAAAGAAGCTATTCTTTAGCTTTCTCAGCTGCTCCTACATCAGCTAGCTGTATGGT